TGTGTTTTTAGGTTAACCCTTCTTTATTCCAGTCAGAATTGTGTATATTGTGTGAATTCAAAAAACTTATTTAACTTTTACACTTTTTCTTGAAGATTATTTGGGAATCCTTTTAAATTCCATTGTGATTCAGTTTTGTGTCCTAAACCAGATACTGATAAGACTGTAGTGCATACTGTAGGTGCACCCTATGGTCACAATCAATCTATACACATACGTACACAAATTTCTGAAGACAGATCTGTACAATTTACATACTGTCATGTCTTCAAGGAGTATCTCTAAGAGTCAGAGTGAATCAATATGTTCTCTAGTGTTTTTAACATTGTGACAAACAGAGGCTAAGACCCTGCCAGGCAAAGCTGTTTATTTCACTACCATTTTATTATATTTTAACAGCACAGAAAACATGATTAACCATAAGTGGCACAGTTATTAATGCTTTTATATTGTGCTCGTCTGTCAGTGACTTGTTTTCCATCGACTGCTGAAATATAATGCAAAACCATAAACTGCTGCATTTATTGGGGAACACTCTTTGTGCCCTGGTACTATACTATCTTCTTTCATAAGTCTTGGTTTTGCTTACAATAGTATGTGTATTCGGAAGACCATAGAGTGTTGGCAAAGATATAAAAGGCCTATTATAAACTGGCTGTTTTTGTAGAGGGTTTTTGCACTGCTGCTGTCAGCCATTGGTTTGAAGACATTGAGAAACATTCACTGGCCTGGCTGTCGCCAATAGCCATAAACACAATATTGAATGTGTCGGACCCTTCAGCCACTGCCAAGATAACTGCAGAGGGGAATGGTCAGCAATGAAGCTCTTTGCAAACACAACCCATCAACTAGCCTGAGTCCCGTGATATAAAGATGATAACAATGCCCATCAAGCCAACAATGTTTTGCCTAAGCTTCTGCTGAGAAGTGGTAGTATTGCAAAAATGAGAGGAAGAGGACAGAGGTAGGGAGACAGAGACAGACTGAGCAGCAGACTGAGACAGAAAGACGGGGGCAGAAAGACGGATAGAGAGGGTGAGCAGGGTGGCAGAATGCCGAGCAGACGGATTCTGGTATGGTAGGAGCTCTGGGCAGGCGTCAGCTGTCCCTAGCAGACCCCCTGGAGCCACCCAGAATTCACACCCAAATATCCTCCACAGTTTGTTTTTTTTGAAGAGCTACATGCAGTTATCACCCACAGCTCAAACTATGAAATTTGTATAAGGCTGGAGTTGTTCCTACAATTCAAACATCAGAGAACTCAAATCTTTGGTAGATGTACTAACCAAGCAAGAGATAATGTGAAACAGTTCCCTTGTAATTCAAGCTCCCATCACTTATCCTCTGATTGTCTTAATCTAGCCTAGGTTGCCTCGGTTAGCCTTTCTCACTGTAGTCCTCTGGCCCACCCTGGTCTGGTCCAGCCTAGCTGAGTGTTCAGAGCTGAAGGGTACCGATGAGACGGGTGTCTAAGTATGTAGGACGCCGTGTCTATGCTGTGCCTGCTTCACACAGGCCCTGTGACAAGTCGAGTCATGAGGGAGCATCATGAAGAAGGAGTTTAATTAGGAGCAAGCCTCCAAAGGGGACACAGAGAAAGACACAGAGCCAAGCAAGCATACACAGCTTTTTTTGCAGTCTTTCCTCTCTGTAACTCTCACATACAGTATACTGTACCCACTCTCTGTAGCATACCCAGAGATAGTTCACATTGAAGTAGTTTGTAGCTTTTTCCTCTCTTCCTCCATTTCTCCATCAATATATCTCTCTTATGAACAGTTTTCTCCCATAACAGTGTGTCCACATTTTGACTTTTTTTTTCTTTTGTGTTAAACTAAAATGGGAGTAAGGCTAACTTTGTTTAGTCTTTTCAGTTTCAAAATAAACTGTTTGACTTTCTGAAAAGATAAAAAATCATTAATAAATGGATGCTGAAAAATGTCACTTTTGTAAATAGCTGCAACAATATAGCTATATACTTAAATAATTCTCTATGAAATGTTTTCCTTTAATGCCAGCACTCATTTTGTAAGAATATAATAATGAGCATTTCTTTATAAAAAGTGATATAAATTGAATAATTTTAATATAAGAATGATAATTTGGGTGAATCTTTTGTGCATACAATTCTTGGCACAAGTGAACTGCACCAAAGTGTTTTTGTTTAATCCTCATCCTATTAGCATATTCCCCAAAGACTCTATTTTCATGCCAGCTCTTCATACCAATCCTCCTGCTTCTTTCAATATAAGGGTAGCAGCTCTACTACCAATGATCATTATTCTCAGTCATTTCGAAATATATGTCTTTGATGTGTCTTATATGGTGATGATGTCACTGAAAACTTAAAGCCTTGTTTGGAGCAGCAGCTGATGACTCTATTGAGCAGAGCCATAAAATACATAGCACATTCAGGGCACAGATAAAGCAATGGGCTATTAGAGAAGGGGGAAATATATAGGATGACGAGAGTAGGGCGGCAGGGTGGTGAGGTGGAGAGCGCAAGAATGAGAGACCCTTCTATGGCTATATGAGCACTCCGACAGATCTGATTGGTTGTTGGGTTGTGTGTCAGCCTTTGGCAACAGGTGTGATGTCTTTAAACAGGTGGGCATAACTGGGATGAGTGGCATACTGCCCTTGTACCGCACCCTCAATGTGCTGAGCCCTGCTGGAAAGCTAAGTCTGGGCCACATGCTTTAAAGTCATATAACACTCAGGCCCTGGCTCCCTGCACCCCATCAACACCCAACACAACTATTGCCCAATACCCTGCTAGACCACCAGCTCAGTTGCCTCATATGGGCGTCACCTTTACCCCAGCCCTTGCTTTTTCCTCTCCTAGCAATACCCCTCTGGTATTCTTCCTAGAATGGAAGTGAATCCCTCATGCACTCTGTGCTGGTGGTGGTAGGTGGTGGAGATCTGTGCAAGTAGGAAGAAAAGTTGTTTTTTTCCTTGCGTGCATTCTCATGTGAGCAGTAAAAGGCCAGTGGTTCAGCTCTTGTCAGTTCGATATGATGCATCGCTAAGACCAGAATGAAACTACACATAAGAAATAGCAAAAGTTTTACATCTCACGCCTTTGCCAAAAAAGACAGCATGCTAAACCTCTGCAACCCCTTTGTTCTTTTGACTCATCCACCTCAGTTAGAGCAAGAGTGCCTGATTCACTGTAGGTCTGTTAGAAGTCAGATCTCCTGCATCGCCTTGGTTGATTTGTTTGGTGTGATTTCCTGAAGACTGTCAAAGATGTGAGAGAAGCTTTCAAATTCAGAATTCCAGATTTCCACTCTAGGGGCCAAGTGAGGATTCAGAGAGAGAAGAGGAGAGCCAGCAAATGTTGACACGCTTACAGTAGCTGCCTCGCCACGAGACGCCTCAGGAATCAAACAGTTATCGCACACACAAAAGAAGCCCTCTAAGTTCACTAAAACCACACTCAAAACAGCCCTTTGTTGTGCTGACATGAGAGATGACTCGATTGTTATTTGTTTTCTAAGCAGGCAGATCGCTCCCTGTCACTTCTGCTACTGGTTGTGATGGAGTAGCTAGCACTTGTATCTCTTCCGTGAGTGAGTACTGACGGAGACAAACAAATGAGAGGAAGAAGTTCACTAAGATTAACTTATCTTAGCATCCATCTTCCTCCTTTCTCCTGCTCAGTCTCTCTTTCTTTTTTCTTGACGCTAACACCCACTCTCACACACCCACACATGCACACACAAACAGAGACTCATTCCCCTCTTCCCCCTCCCACACATACACACACACACTCACACCAGTAGACACATACACACAGTACAACATTTACAGAGAGAGATAGAGACACACACACTTGATCAGCATCAAATACAGGGTGTGCTAAAGTAAATTTAATTACGTCTGTCTGATATGGAGCTTCAGATGAAAGCAGGAGAGCGCGGTGTGAAGCGACGACTGCACAGACAGGAGCAGGCCTGAGATATTCCTCCTGTAGACTAATCTCCCTTTATTAAAGCCAGAAGGAGAGAGGGAAGGAGGGGAGAGAGTGAAAGGGGGGTGGTGAGGAGGGGATGTCTTTGATGAGATCTCTAACTGTCAGCTACTGCACTTTTCTTCTCTTCCGCTCGGTCTTTGTCTCTCACTTTACATGGCAAATGAACACAGCACCTATCGGTACATGCCTACTTGCTCAAGCAAACATACTTGCGTGCTATCACACACAGTAATGTGCTCTGAAAGTATCCCTGTTGTTATGGTTGTCAACAATATCTAAAAAAGGACAGAAGCAGCTCTCTCTCTCGCTCTTACGCTCTCTTTGTCTGTGTCTCTCTTCCACTCAGAGGGAGTGGTGAGCAGTGGATAGTGTGCTTTTCCGCCTGCCTGCTGTTTTCTGGCCACTCTAATGGGGGCAGGTGGCCATCAGGTGGCCAAAACAGAAACTGCCACATTTAATAGCACATATACCAGAGTCATGAACTCAAGCACCTCAGCTGTATTTTAATTCTATTTCATGTCCCATTGATGATTATGGTTGTAAAATGTGTTTTACTTTTATGACATTTCCCTTTCCTGTGTAATTATGAGGTTTTAAGGTCCCATGATTTGTCATTCTGTCAAGACTTTTATCATTTCTTATGTCTTGTTATTGGATGGGATTAAAACCTTTGTGCCATCTTGAATGTTTAGCTGCATGTTTACTTGTTCACGAAGCAGCCAGTGTATCCTTGTGTTACCCCATGTTGATGGAGGTTAGAATGGAGCCTGCCAAAATGATCCACTGAAAAGGTTAAAGATCTTTTGTAGAGCAATTTCTCATTGAAACACAAACTCATTGAAAGTCTATTCATTTTAAATATATTAAGAAATGCCACTGTTAAGGAAACCTCTAAATGGTTTTCCAAACTTCATCTTCTATCAGGATCAATTCTAAAAGGGGCCTCCTCACAGTTCATCACCATACCCCCATCCCTACCCCAAAGCCCTTCAACAATTTTGTGCAACTGCTCTGTTTGCAGACATTGAGAAAGAAGGGCCTAAACGGCTGTGACAGCCCAGACCCCGACGCAGACGACTCGGTCGGCCACAGCCCCGAGTCCGAGGACAAGTACAGGAAAATAAACGAGGATATTGATCTGATGATCAGCAGACAGAGACTTTGTGTAAGTACCTCTTGTTGAACCTAGAGCCTTCCTCTCACCTTTCTTTCCTCTCTTTCTCCCCCCCCCATGCTTTCTGTCACTTCCACCTCATCTCCTCGTTTTCATCATCTCTTCCTACCACCCATCTCTACATCCCTTCACCTGTGTTTCCGTCCGTCCATCCATCCGTCCGTCTCTGTGGTTGTGGGACCTGGCAGGCATTGAGCAAGAAGGAGAACAAAGGCGACGAGAGCCCGGAGCTCGAGTCTACTCTCACCCTCACCCCACGCACTGAGGAGAAATACAAACAGATTAACGAGGAGTTTGATCACATGATTAAAACTCATACGATATCTGTAAGTACTGGGTTGACGCTACGCCGCACCCTCAGAAGGCTAACAAAATGCTGACTAGCCGGTAACTGTTGCGCTAACCCAGCTAACCACTATTGTATATCACTAAACTAAATACACAAAGTGAGAGTGAGAGTAAGACTAGAGTGAGATTATATTGTGTACTTACAATGAAAAAATTCTTTGATTTTGCTTGCTTACAGCTGAGGAACAGTCCTCTAATTTGACATAACTGCAACCATAACTAGCAGGCATTTTCACTATAGTAATTGCAGACTTTCTCTCATGACAAATTTTAACCTTAGTGGGTTCCCTCCTTGAACCCGTTACCCATAATGCCTTGCCTGGCTCTCAGGGGAGGTGTGGTCTGCATGTGCTTTTCCTTTTCCTGCACAAAAACACACCGCTCAGTCACCCGCGACAACAAGGACAGACACTGGGGCAATGAAACAGCAGCAGACATTCAAAAATGCTTGAGCATATCTCTATAGCTCACAAAACTCAATTATGTCTTCTCCTAGCCGAAATATTTAAAGGCAGCATGTTTGCTAATAGACGTAGATAGGTCAAGACCTGTCAGCAGCTGGATTTATATCATACAGTGTTCATTTTACAGAAGAATTCAATCGATTACCAGCTGCCAGAAAACACAAAATAAAGGCTGCTTTCTATGTAAACTGAGCCTGCCTTTCATTTACAAAGCAACATATTGGAATGGTTAGCGATCTAGCCTTACAGAGAAAGAGATAATTCCATGGTAGATAATTCAGAGGAGAACAGTAGTGTCTAAGCTGAACGGAGACTGGGGAGATGTGGTTAGAAGCAAGGCAGGCGTTGGTGAGCTGGGGTGGCGTGGCGGGGTGGGGTGGAGTGGGTTTGGGATCGGAGCTGGGTGGGGATGGGGGTGGAACAGCAGGGGTGGTGGTGTTGGGGGGAGGCTCAACAAGTGGCAGTTCAGTGTGTGGTCAGGGTGGCTGCCAAGCACTGGGCCTCTGGATTGCAGGAGACTGTTGAGGGGACTGTGGGGAGAGGTGGAGGAGGAAGATGAGTGAAAACAGGAAGGATGGCACTGCTTAAAGGACAGCTTACAGACGGGGCCCTTACACCCAGTGATGTGGTGTGTATACGCGCAAATGTGCACACAGAGACAGCCCCTTCGCTCTTACAAAACACCGCACAGAGAAGTCATGAGGTATAAAAGCTCCAACAAGGAATCCGAGATGGAAGAAATTACTGAAAGTCTCAAAAAGAAAACAGAACCAGAGACATCCCCTCACTGGTTAAACAAGAAAGCATGCATAGCTTTTGGCTAGCCCACTCCTGAGTAAAGTTGCAATAAAAGCGAAATGTGCAGAGGCCCACAATGAAATATGGTTAAAGTAACCATCTTTGTACTTTGAAATAATATTTGGCCTGCAAAAAGAACATTAGCAAAAAGGAGAAAATTGAAGAAGACTAAGCAGTGCTAGGGTACATTTCAATATCCACGCAATTCAGGCTGATGATCCCCCTGATGCTCTTGCTCCATGGCTCTGAGACACATGGCAGTAATTTAGGGCCCTATTTTCTACTTCCTAAAGCTAACAGGCTGGATCAACCACTTCCAGGGCACTCCCAAGGTTAAGCTTTTCTGCCAAGTGACACAATAAACATGACAAACTAGACACCTGGGGCCAGCAGACTACCTCTGCTCATGTTCCTGATGAGACCGATCTGAGTCTACCACCTCTAAACTCTTAGCATTAGCTCCATGTGACTACTTTTGCTAGTAACACGTTTGAGGTGAAGACAGACTGAATTATGTTAAGCTCTTTTAGAATAGTGGGATGCCACTGGCTTCCTCAGTAAACCATTGCCTTCTAATTTCTTTATTAATGTAATAAAACAGGAATCAGGGAATATAAATGCTGCCACTATTGGATAAGATCTCCTCAGGTCAACCTTTTGCCTTTACAGTTACAAATGTCACAAAGTGTAAGGGATGAAACCTGAATTATTTACAGAAAGATATTGGGAGCCACCAAAGTAGCCTACCTATGCTAGATCAAACTTGAATAACAAAGTAATGGCAGCCCATATCATCTTGGGGACAATCCGAGTAACTCTAAAAGAAGTTTTCTAGGCGCTTAACCTTTATGTTTTTGTGTTTTCTTTGCTGTAAGAAGTAGATCTTTGTACCATTCATCTATGCATTCTACTGATAGTTGTCCATTTGTCCTTTTGAACTTGGTCGTCTCTGGCTTTTTTCTTTTGACTACTTCTGGAGTAACACTGTAGAAAGTCAAAGGATTTTAAATATCTCTGTGTTGCTGGAGTGGCCCTGAATTGTCTCTTTCTCTGTGTCTGTGTCCATTCCTTTACTCGAGGGCTTTGTTTTAGTCTGTTCAGTCACTGAAATTGTCGGTATCCTTAATCTAATCAAATTTGTGTCTGTGTCTCTCTTGTTCGCTCTTTTTCTCAGCAGGCCGTGCCCCCATCGAACTATGATATGCCTGTGTCCATTCCTGTTAGCAACCAGAACAATCTCATTTACAGCCATCCTGGTGGTTCCCTAGGCAACCACAACCTGTTGCCACTGGCACACCATGGCCTACAGAGAAACAGCATGTCTCCCGGAGTTACTCACAGACCCCCCAGTGCAGGTAACACAGGCTGAGCCTCACATGCACTCATGCACCCATGTACACACTGTTATCCCATCTGTCTATTTTCTCACCTGTGTGTTCCTGTCTGTCATGCTAATATACACACAAATGAAATGCATGATTTATTGTATGACAGCTACCCGCAATATATAATAATATTCCAAAAGCAGTGAATGAATCTGAAGTCTTCCCCCACCGGTGTATAGTCACATATTGCCTGCTCAGTATTTTGTTCAAAGCAAGTTGATGATTTAATATCATATTCCAGCCTACGGTCTCGATGATTTAGTGTGAGGTTCTACACATGGGATGTCTGGACTTATGTATAGGCATTGAGTTGCTGGTGACATAAGCAAATCAGGCCTGTTGGTTTGTTATTGTTGTCCAAAGTCCTTTTTCTGTCCCTCTGGTCTGAAGGCTGCTGCCCACACCCTCACCCTGTCATTACAACTGGATGCTAGGAGCGCCAGCACAAACTAAATATGAGTTTTGGCGCTCACAGCATCCACACCAAACCGCACACGCTCTAGACCCTCCCACTCTTCCACCTCACATGGCTTAAAAATAATAATGTCTCATTTTTCTTGGACAGCAGCTTAAGGTATCCACTTGCAGTGTCCAGTTGTTCAGAGTGTTAAGGTTTGAGTGGGAAGCAATATTACTTCTGGAATCAGTACACATATAATGTATAGACACACACACACACAGATTGTGATTAAATTGAGGTAGCTTCTGAAAGGCCAGCAAGGTAAGAGACAGGAAGCATAGTGGATGTTATGTGGGTGTCTATCCTCTAATGGCTTTCTCTCTTTTGCTCTTCTCTCTCTTTCATCTTTCAGGTGGCCTCATGGGTGCTGACCTCACCACTGGCGCAGGCACCAGTGCTGGTAAGAATGGCCTCCTCTTCTCACACATAGTTGTCTGCTAACACACACAAACACACACACACACACACACACACACACACACGGCACCCACTCACCCACTCTGGGCCATAAAATCCATGACTAATAGTAACCCAAACCCAAGAAGGAGATTTTGTCCATGATGTGTTGATGTTAGTGGTTGTAGAGTTTCACCTGGGAATGTTTGCCCAGTGCTGGGGCTGTGATACATCCTGCCTGGGTTTAGCAGCAGGAGATTGACTGACAGGCTGCTAGACAAGATGCTAGACTTTTGAATGTACCGTTAAATGTTCTCTGTTTCTCTGCTTGATGAGCCATTTCTTTATTTTTACTACCTCTTGGACTTGGACGTAAATTCAAAATGACATCATCCATATATTTGGATTAACCCAGTTTTGTCACACAAACTTGCTACACAGTAACTGCTATCATATGTCTGCAACCAAATTAATTCAATGTTTGGAATGGCCATAATGATCCCATAGAGAGTGGAGTAACCCATGTTTGAGGAACATGTGTAAGGAATCTTATGTGCTGGCTTCTGTGTGTCAATGGGTTTGCCCTGAGGACATGTCAGGACCAAGTTTATGGCAAAGAGACTCCCTTTTAAAGGGTTAAATTTTACAGCCTTGACGTACAGTGCAGAGTGTAAAAATGAAGAGTTGGGGGGGTCAGTGGGGCACAGCTGGGCAGCCTTGTCTGGCCCCTAGGGCTCCATCACAAGGGGTCAATGCCTGGTTTCTCTGTCTGGTAACTCATCCCACACACAACAGGACCATTTGTTGTGGCGTGTGTTCCGTCGACGGCGTGCTCCAGAGCATGCTTCAAATGTAGGCTTTGTGTCACCGTGCCGAAGGAACAGAGGCGCTCTGTGAGAGCTGTGTGTCGCTCAGCAGCAGCGAAAAACACGACGTGGAGAGAGAGTCATGTGGGAGCTAAAAGATTCCATTCAGGGCTCTCTTAAATCTCATCTAGGGGGAGAGAGAAAAAGTGTGTGGGGGGGAAACCCCAGTGATGAATATCCACTGATGGTGGAAGCATGTGTGCAAAGAAGAAACAGTGGGGGAACACAGATGGAAGTGTTCTGTGAACTTGGTCAGCCATTTTAATGATGTTCCTCGAAGTGACTCAGTGTGAGGTGGCCCAGCCACTGTGGCACCACAAAGACTGTTTTAATGTTCCTCTTCTCTTCACGGTAAGTTTTGATAAGATGATTGTACAAGTAGCTGTCTGGCCAGTGTACGAGTGTCTTAAGTGGTGTATACTAAGTGACATAAGAGGAGTCTGTGTGTGTGTGTGTGTGTGTGTGGTTCATACATGCACATAAACACCTCCTTTGTGCCTCAGATGTCATGGTTCCATCTGTGTGTAAAGAAAGAAAATGACAGCTTTTAAAGCCCAATTCACATGGAATTAGCATACCTGGAGTACCTTACTGTAGTTTTGAAGGATTGCAGAAGTTGTTTGTTTCTTAATCCCGCAAGAATCTGCGATGTGCTCAGTCTGTAAAGTTATAACGCCACCGGTGATTACCTACCATATTTCACCAAGCACGGGTCTTCTGATCATTTGGATGGATTTAGCTTAAATTGTCATCTCAGTAAATTGTCTCAGCCTTGTATATATTTTTTATTTTACAATAGATAGATTTATAAGTGCAAATGCAGTGGATTTATGTAGTTATAGCCTATGTGGTGCCATGGGTTCAAGTTTTTCATGCTTGTGAGAGTAGTCCATTTGAACAACCTGCTGATGTAGTATTCATGACTTTGAAAGTGGACATGTTCTAATCGCTCTGACTATTAACTGTGACACAACCTGACATTTTAAAAAATGTCATAGCGTGCAAGTAACTTTTTTTTGTATTTTGTATTTATAATAATTATGAAGTTACAATAAGCACACTATCATTCACCCTTTTTAAAAGGGAACAAGTCCATTTTCCCTGTTAGTTACCTAGCTACAGTGTTTTCATGACTTTTAACTACATGAACTTCAAACATGTATAATACTAGACTTCCCTTTTATTGCTGCATAAGCACGAAGATGCAATGTGTTTCACTCACATCTGGAGATCATCCTGTAAATTTAATTGAAACATACACTTTTTCTTTATCCTGTGCAAATACGCCGCATGAAATCCAGACATGGGGGTAAAGTCTAGATCACATAAGGTCCCCAGGTAATTCTAGTCCGGTGCAAATAGGGCATGTTACTGAAAGGCTGAGTCATCATGTCTCTTTTATGGAAATACTGTGGGAAGTGTGAACGTGCATGTGTATGTTCGCTCATTTATATACAGTATGTGTTCAGTCTGTCAACTCCTTTGCTGGCTAGGCGAGAGCGCAAGGTGAGGACAGAAACAGAACATGAGTGAAAGAGAGCTGATGAAGGGAGCTCCGGACCAAGGCCTTGGCTTGTAAAAACCTCCGTTCGTGCAATTACGTAGCTGTCGCTCCGATCAGCACTCTACTCACCAACGAATTAACGAGACACTCTTGTCACCTCTCACCTTGATCACACACCAATTACTCCCTCAAATGAATTACAAACAAGGTACATCTTTAAGACATGTCTGGGCAAAATCACACAGAAAGACAAGCTAAAAAGCATTCATACAAGAACCGACAACAAGTCAGGTTCAGTAGATCAAACAATATGTGTCTCAATCTTGGCAGCACCGCATACCAACTGTACAAGTTGTAAGTGTGAGTGTGACACCTTAGTTCAGTTGGAGAATTCAGGGTTGAATGCACATTTGGCCAAACCGCAACGGAAGAGTGTGTGTGTATGGGGAATAGAATGGAGCGTGCCTGTTAGACCACAACAGGACATCAGAAATTTGTTCAGTAACAGTAAAATGTACATGAGTTTAACCACACCTCTCTTTTGTGTGTGTGTCTCTCTGTGTGTGTGAGAGAGAGTGAGGGAGAGAGAGAGAGAGAGAGAGAGAGAATGAGCACAGGGAGGGCCCTGTAAAACACATGCATCTCAAAGTGCACTAAGTTGTTACCATGGCACCTATAGAGACAGATTGCAATCCTTCAGCTTTGAACTCAGCTGCCCCCCTGCACCGCATAAATAGCAAAAAGCTTATCTGAATCCGAGATCAGATTTTGTGCTCTATGTGTGATTTTTATACAGCAGCAAAACTTACTCCTGTCTGGGCTGTATATAATTTTGTCACTTCTTCTAAACGGTCGATTCCAGCCAGTGCTGCAGCTTGACCGTGCAAAGTAGCCTTAGAGGAGGGTAGTAGAAATAAACTCTGTCGTGTCCTCGACAGATACATTAGCCCAGCCAATGTGTCGCTATTGAATGCAACTGTCCTACAATCAGGGTGATCAAGCTACAGAATAGGAAGATTTGAGTCACAGTGCTTGCTTCATTAGCTTAATTACGTAATGATTTTACTTTTGAAGTGCTTAAGGACTGGCCTATGCCTTTCATGATCATAGTCATCTAGCAGATAATTGACTGGACTGCAGCCATCTCCACAGGGTGGCAATACACAGATGTCTGATTAACTGTCACCAAGATGAAGTCCATGTCATCTTGAGCAAAGTGTGTATTAATGTCTCTGTATGGCTCGGTCTCTTTTTATTCATCTGTACAGAAACAGTGATGTACTTCCTGCTGTGTTATTTATTAAAGTGCGTGTATGTGTGTGGTGTGCATGTCTGTTTTGTGTGTGTGAGGTCTCATTCATCTATCTCCACATGCACCCACTCAATCTCACAAAGGGCCAGCTATGAGAATGAGAGAGCGGGAAAACTGAAGAGGCAGCTGCCTCTTTACTAATGTGAGATTGACACTGGAACTAAGAGGGTCCAATACAAAACACACATGTGCATCCATATGCATGGCTCATGCATAAGCAGTCATGTGACAGAAAAATGGTGCTTATATAGAATCATGCACATGAACAATTGTATGCAGCAAAAAATACAATAACACACAAAGTCAATGTTGTTAACATCAACTTATGCAAGCTTATACATCACACATGCCAGCAGAGGCACAAACACTTACACACACTAGCAGTCACCACACTGTTTTTCTCGTTTTATGTCAGACAGCCTCATTTTCTCTCACCGCTAGCGGTCGTTTACTCTTCAGATTGTTCAAATTGAGCTTTTGAGACTTTTCATTTCCAAACAACAAAAACCTCGCTCTCAAATTAAACAAAGATCAGCGAGGGAAATTGCCCAGGAAGACATCTGCGACTCATTTTCCCCCGGAGTATATGATTAGGAAATTCATTTATGTCTAACGTATAATTCCTGCCCGTCTTTCAAGTGGGAACGTCCACACAGTGCCCTGTGTTCTACCCCTTGGAAGAAGGAAGGAGAAGTAAGGGGAAAAACAGCCTGCGGGATTGGGTTAGAAACAAAGACTATGTTGCTTGCGAGAATGCTCCACTCTCAGTTTTTTTAATGATGTAGCTGGGATTCCGCCCCACCGGTTTTTGAGGAGGAAATGGGTGCTGCACTTGGCCCACCGTACTTAGGGGAATGCAGATCTGGTGGCAACCCCGAGGCAGGGTCTTTGTCTCGAAGAACCGCTCGTGTTTAGCTCTGATGGCCAAATGATGGGTCCCATCCCTCTGTGGTCTTGCTACCCGTAATTAGATGTTTTTACACGATTCACTGGCTGTTGCATGGCACATGTAGCCTTAACTGACAGCGACTGAGGTGGAGGGTGAGGTCCTCTCAAGCAAATCACCACCATGCAAAAAGTGGTGATCATCTAGACAAAAACAGTACTCTTTTTAGTGTCTACCACTTTCTTAAAACACAATTTACAAGTCTCTTCAGAATAGTGAGCTAATACAATTTCTACCACAGGAAGTGAAAATGGATTCCTGTAGTTCTTCATTAGGTTACACTGTCATGGACAGCAGGATTTTAAAGATTCATTAAACTTTTGAAACAGGTTTAGAATTAGCTCTTTGGTTCAAATACCATTCAAGAACATCTGTATGTTTAATGTTTCTCTGCCTCTTTCTCCCCAACCTTTCTTTGCTCTCAGGAAATGGATATGGCAACCACCGCAACTCACCAGGTCTGCTGGTCTCTCCCGGTGGCATGAACAAGAACATGCAGGCTAAGTCTCCCCCACCCATGAACTTAGGCATGAACAACCGCAAACCTGACCTACGTGTGCTCATCCCCCCTGGCGCCAAGAACAACATGCCCTCCATCGTGAGTCATATTTCTATCCCTTTTTTCATGTCTTCATTCCGCCTTTCCTTACTGTAGCCTATGTCTTCCTATCAATGGGGGGTCTCTCGGGTTTGTTTGCTATTGTTTATTTCCTTTCATGTCGTCTCCGCTGCTTTCATCTCTTTATATCAGACTTGGGTTGATGAGGTTATGTTTGTGATAAGCTTGACTTTAGGTACATGACATTGTTATTTTTCTCATGCGCCTTGGCAGCTTCTTAAACCAACACCCTTCTTTAAATTTCTTTTAGCCCGAGTCTGATATACTGTCAGATATATTTCCTCTGCTGCGTCTGTGTGCATATGTTGGCCCCGATATTTCTTTCTCCTGTCTTTCTGATGAGGTGTGTTAAGTTAGTATAGTTACAATAGTAACTAGCATCTTCTTTTCACATTAGCTCTGTTTTGGTTGGCTCAATCCAACAGCAGCTCCATCCCTAGATCCTTCTTCTATATTCTCACTCTCACTCACTAATTTTAATTTATTACCCTCCCCTTTTATTGCCGTCAGTCTGAGGATGTCGATCTGCTATTGGTAAGTCAGACTGCCACTCAAATTTAGAGATCAAAACATCTCTAAATAAACCTAGATAGATATTCTAATCAGAAACAGATTAATGTAATTCTTGGGAGTATAATGTGCCTTGTAGAAGTAAGAGCGTTGCAGTCACCTGAGTCTAACCTCTTAATTTGCGTTAAGTTTGCTAGCGCCCGGACTCCAGAGTAACTTTCACCTTTATTGTTGCTGACTCTGCTGAAGACTCCGACGCCTTACATTACATTTTGTAAGGGCACACATTGCCATCCAGTGGTGTGTCAGAGTAAAAGCAGCCTGGCCTCTTTTCTGCCTCAACCCAAGTGTATCTTACTCCTCCCTTCCTTCAATTCCTCTTTGTACCTGCTTATAGAGTCTTGTGCTGCGTTCAGAATGCAGACATGAAGGGCAACAAAAGAGTACACTTTCATTTAGCATCAACTCTCCATTATTTTCTGCCAAACCCTCCCCTCTGCTACAGTAAAGTGCCTCTCCCTTGCCGTGGCTACCCTGCGTTGCCATGGAGACCAATGTTACTATAGCGACAGTGGGCCCTCGGTAAGGGTGGTAAATGATAGGGTTGGCAGGGTTCAGCCGTGCCGCATGTCAAGTGATTAATTTCCTCAGAAGTTGGCACCACATTCATTCTCTCAGCATCTGTTGAGTGAAAGAAAGAAAATCCAAAAAAACTTTCTTGGTCTATTGCAGTTTTTTGTTTGTTTTGTCTGGGAGTTGATTTCATGTTCTCTCTTGCTCTCTGTGTCTTCTCTTCCTCTGTCACAGAACCAGAGAATAAACAACTCTCAGTCTGCTCAGTCCTTGGCCACCCCAGTGGTATCAGTAGCAACTCCCACTCTACCAGGACAAGGCATGGGTGGTTACCCATCTGCCATCTCTACTTCTTATGGTACCGGTATGTACCACAGTGTGTGCACTGTGTGATCTTTATACATTAAATTCTCATTTGTCCATTAAGGCTCATTCTCCGTAATCACTTTGTATATGTTTTAGATAATGCAACATGTTTTCAGGTAACCTGTACTGTACCTAAATAACTTTAAACAAAAATCAAGCTTTATTTGAGATGTTGTGCATCTGTAAAAATTATTATTTGACTCATTTCATGTTGCTTTTGAAGCCTCCTTTCTGATTTAAGTGTTATTCAACAGTCTAACAGCAGAGGGTGCTATTGTCACACCAACAAACACGGAAAATATTCATGTAACATCACAGCTGCATTCCTCCGAGCTGCATTCTCTTTGCAACTTTGTTTGAACTTCTTTGAACAACCTTTAATCTACATCCTTCTCCTCCTTCCCCTGTGTGTTTGTACACAGAGTATTCCCTGAACAGTGCAGACTTGTCCTCCCTGTCTGGCTTCAACAGCGGCAGCTCCCTTCACCTCGGCTCAATGAGCGGGTGGCAACAGCAACACCTTCAGAACATGCAGCATTCAGCCCTTGGCCAGCTAGGGTGAGTGCATTGAACTTAATTTGAGGTGTTGTTAAATGCATGATGTAACACATAAATTATCACTGTTTTCAACCTTGACTTGCAAGGTCCAACACAAATGTGACACCTCCCTCCCTGTTTTCATGAATATGACTCTGTGTGTGTGTATATGTGTGTGTGTGTGTGTGTGTGTAAATACGTGCTTTCATGCATGTTTGCGTGTGACACACTGACTTCAGAATCACTTTGCTTCTTGCTCTGTAACTCTGTAACCCCTTGCGTTTCCTTTCCTTCCTACAGAAATTGCTCTAGCTCTCACTTATGTCAGGGTTCAAATCTCTCCCTGCCCTCTGCTCAAAGCCTGCACATCAAGTCCGAACCTGTTTCTCCTCCTAGAGATCGCACCAGCAGCACACCGGGGGGCTACGGTGGCGGAATACCACCTCCCCAGAACCCCTCGTCCCGCCAGGACTCGGGACGCTCCCCTGTTGATAGCCTGAGCAGTTGTAGCAGCTCCCATGAGGGCAGCGACCGTGATGAGCACAGGAATGAGTTCCACTCACCTCTGGGACTGGCCCGGCCCGCCCTGGACGAGCGCGAGAGCCCCTCCATCAAACGGGTGCGCCTGTCAGAAGGATGGGCGACATGATAGCTCTGACCACTCCCCGGCAGTGCCCCGAGTTGCCCTGAGCCCCGACAACGCGGCGTTCCCTCCTCTTCCTCCTCTCACTCGATATCACGAGTCACTCACCAACCAACCCCATGGCCTCTCTCCTTTTATCTCTTTAACGCTGAAGGAAAGAAAAGGGACAGCCCTTTTCAAAAATATGTTTGAATTTTCTTTTCGTTTTTTTCTTTTCCTTTTTCTTTTTGCTGATTGTGTGTGTGCTATACATATTGACATTATATAAACCAGTGGGGTGTTGTAATGGGGGTTTGGGAGGGTGGGTGTCGGTTGGGATGGGATATAGGGGTATTTTTGTTGGGGAACTATGCATAAATTGTATTGTGTGTGGATAAAAAGAATCATGTATGCATATATCTTTACACGTGTGTGTATGTGTACATATATGCATATCAACAAATAAACAAAAAAAATAGTCAGGTACTCTGTTTCATAAAACGTACTCACACTTTGCCTCAGCGATATATCAGTGACTAGAGACAAAAAAAGGAAAAAAAACATTAACATGAGAGTGAGTGTGTCCAGTGGAAAAACACCTTAGCACTTGAGTTGGACAAACAATACATGTGTACAGTGTCAGTTTCATTGCTATATACCTTCTCTGCAGTTCTCCCTTGCAAAAATGTGTGTTAACATTAGATGATGTCATGTTGCAGGTTCAACGTATTTATGTAAATAGAAGGTCAAGGGGGGAAGGGCAGGGGTCAAAAGTTGCCAGACATTACAAGATTTATTTACTCACTAAATGAAAAGCTATTATGCAACATTTGAAGGATTGTACAGGTAAACAGGCAGACCCAATGCTAAATGTGTGGAACCCTTGATGATTTTAGTGCTCCCCTTAAAGAATGGAGCTGAGCAAGGACCACCCTCTGATCTAAGAGCTACGTTAGTGTAATCAAGAAAACTCTGGATCTAGTATTAATATTCAATGTTGATAATCAAAAAAGGAAAAAATTAAAAACAATTGTACGATACACTTGCTTCTATTTTCATATGAAAGGAATACAATGCAAAGCATTTTTGTGGCTTTTTGTAGTTTCTATAAGCCAGAATGTGTTTTTTGATAGCTTTGCTAATAAGAGATGGATAGTTCGCCCAGATGGGAAATGACAGGGCTTCGAAGCCCTAAGCCATGAAAAACTGAGATCCAATGCTTTGCTGAACTGTTTTATCTTTGTAGAGGTCTGTTTTTAAACGTGTATTTCTAATTATATATAATAATGGTAATATTAAGAATCTTTAAAAAAAAAATCTGTGAAATTAACATGCTTGTGTATAGCTTTCTAATATATAAATATATACTAATGATTTTTGTTGGTTTCTTAGTGGAGTTTCTATGTGCAGTTGCACATGTTGTCTGGTTTGTTTAATTTGAGCCCTGAACATTGCTGTTCAGGGGTGTATTTAGTCTAACCTTAAAAACCAGCTGGAAAGCATTGCCAGGGTTTGTGTCACGGAGGAAAGACAGGCCAGAATGCTGAAAAACAACCTGTTAGTGGAAAATGTCATGAGACTGGAACTGGGGATGACACAGAAATAAATGTTGACACATGATTGTCATTCTGACGAGTGAAATGATTGACCCTCAATCCATGTCTAGATGCATTTTAATGCATCAGATATTATATTCTTAACCTTAATTATCTAATATAGTAATATAATCTCATAAAATATGTTTTGGAATCAGTGTTCTGCTCCATCTCAAATCTTCACCACAGTGTTAGCTTGTGTTCAAGATGACCCAATCTACACTTTTTTTTTTTAATCATATTTATGGAATATCATTTGTTGAACACATTTTTGTTAATAATTATCCCTGATCATTTGCAAACCTAATTTAATTCTGTGCCGTCTTGTGACTCCTCATGTTCCACTCTTCAAAACAGGGTTCCACATCATTTGCCACATGTTCCTGACGGTTCAGCGTCAGATACGCAAGGACAAATTGATCATGCTGGTCTGAAAGAAGCACAATTGTTTATTTTAAATAAATTGTTGTTTTGATTTTCTCTTTTTTAAACAATGAAACTAGCCACATATCTCTCTGCCTCCCACTCCCATATCTGCTGTCACTTAAGTGTTCTATGTGCATATTTCATGAAGGTTCACTATGTTGTTACTGTATACAGTCTGTGTAGTCAAACAGAGGCAGAGCCTCTATAATGGTGTTATTCTCTTTTTTTTAATTCAATACAAAAAGGTTGAGAAAAAAAAATAAACATGATGTTTCAGGCAGCATAAGTGTGGAGAAACCAAAGCCAGTGGCATTTCTGTGTTGTAAACTCAACTTTTATTTTCACATTCATTTATGGTTTTTGCAAGCGTTGAAATAAGACAATAAAAGAATTTGCTCAAATGTACAATTGGTTTCACATTTCAATTTCAGTCAGTCAAATGTAGCTTTAGATATCAAGCTGCATAGTCAATACCCACAACAAAAATGTACCTGTTTTGTTGCTCATTTGCCCAACATGCCAACATGTCCTGATGATTCTTTTGAGTTCTGTAGGTTTGACAATAATATTAACTAAAGCCATGGAGAAAACTTTAGATCTTTGTTTTTTTCCTTCTTGTGTTTGTTAAATTTGAAGCCATTCTTTTGCATCACCTGTTGATCAGTTGTTCTTTTACATTATTATAATAGGCTAAATGTTGGTACCTCAAAATTTACCCAAGCAGTACCTCAGCTGATGTTTTGATAAGTCACTTGCAGTGAAAAGGGGAGACCATACACCTGTACAGCCATGTGTAATAACCATGTAATACCAGTGCTTAAGGTCCCTACATTCACATGGGATTCTTTGTTGCTCCACCGTGTTTGTGGTTTATTTAAGTTGTATTCAAAGGCTGAAAAGGATCTTTTTAAAAAGAGTATTATGTTACAATGCTTAAAAAGTCAGTCTGTAGTATCACATGTAGCTTGTATAAACCTGAAAGTGGGGGAGGTTTGGAACTAATGTTTTCTGGAACGCAAGAGCGGCTTTCAGCGGCATAAGCTGGCCTTTGTCGCCACTTGAGACTAAGATGGTATTAAATTAAATCCACATCTCTGTAACTCAAGGGACTTGATTCAGCTGTATGTAGTGAAAACGTATAGGGATGAAATAAAAGTCTCCTCTGCTGGAGGGAAAGGCTATTTGTATTTTGCAGAGATTTCAGTAAAGTTACTGGTTTTCTTAGTTATTCGGATGTGACTTCGTGTGATTTCATTGTGTTTGACTTGTTTCTGCATGCGTCTCTAAACTGTGGTTACGTTACAATGCTGACTTGAAAAACCACATCAACATGAAAAGCTTCCACAAATGGAAGTCAGTGCATGGTGCCATAGCAGCTTCACTTTAAGACAATATAAATTGTATGACATTGAAATAATGACAGTGGCATCATTTTCACATTTGTTTCTTTCCATTTACATTTTTTTAAATGTGACATTTTAACATAAGTATTCATACTGAAGACATTTATTTGACATTTAAAGCCAAGGTTCATCATGCTTAACATTACAGTGGTATAATATTTCTCATTGATACATTATGCAATAGACAATACACATGGATCTTAAAATCACAGGGAAAAACACATGTTCATAAGCAATGCAAATACAATGGCCTGCTCCTACTAATCAGAGTGATTTTGAAAAAAATCCCTTAACAACACATCTGTCTATCCTATTCCAGTGCTCATTCATTCCTGAAAGAAAGAAAGAAAGAAAGAAAGAAAGAAAGAAAGAAAGAAAGAAAGAAAGAAAGAAAGAAAGGGAGAGCTAATTCAATAAAATCTACAATTTTTGTTTGGTTCTTTCTTTTTTTTTTTTGCGGTTCCAAAGCAACAATGAGGTGGAAATATCCGACGTACAGAAATTGCGGTAGAGCTGTTAAGAACAGTGTATTAAATTATAATGGAGGAGGAAGACGCATTTTTTACTTCTGAAAATACAATAATCAGTAACAACAGTTACACATTTATTAAGAGATGACGATGTGATTGCAGTTGTCAGCACTCAAACACTGGGTATAAAAATTAGACTCTTTTAAAAAAATCCCAACTGGGATTTTGACGCGTAGGGTGTTAGGCCTTTGTGTTTCTCCTGATTATGTATCTCCTTTCTACCTACAGCATCACTCGCGTTTTGATATTTCTTTCTTTACCTACAAATCATCAAGTGTTTCTTTTAAGTGCACCTTATCATTTACATTGCGATAAAACCAAGCAAGCAAAACAAAAAGATGTTTTCCTGTAGAAACTTCCTGTATCTTGAAATTCGATAGCGAGCCGTTTGAGGCTTTTCTGTTTTCCTAAAAAAGGCCACCCCTATTGCTTGTTTTTACATAATGTAATATGCGTGTTTTTTATGGGATTAGGCAATATCGTAATTTGTTTTTCAGTTTTGAAGGTCCAGGCTCACACCAAAGGTGCCATTCATACCAAAGCTTCCTCGTGTTAGGCGGAGTCTTCAGAAGATAAATAGTGCTTGAAGTGAAAAAACATCGTCTCTTCGTTTTAATCATTTCAGGTTCGGGACACATATTTAGAAACTCGGGGAGCAGCTTTTTGTTTTTAATTGAATCAATCCCATCAATTACAATATTTTAAAAAGAAAAGAAACGGTGTGTTATGACGCCTGTGCTGAAAGTAGCCTACCTGTAAATGCAGGCCTACTACATTTTAAAAGCAATACAATGAGGCAATGCATATTCTTTCGAAATATCATAATCAAACTCAGGTTGTCTTTTGTGAGTTTGTTGCGATTATTCCTATTACATTATAATTTGGGAGTTAGATTTTCGATCTGAAAACAAAGTTAATAGTCATACATATATTTCACTATCACATGTCTATAGATTGGAGTCGATTAGCAGAAATAAAAACTAGTGTTACGTTGCCTCAAAGAAGTAGGCCTAGATTCAACCCATTTTGGAGAGTGTTTTTAATCTCAGACAAAATGTAATTGTAGACAAACACAAAAAACGCAACTTTATCATTACAACTGTTTAGGCTACTGAATGTGCACAAAATCGAAGATAGGGAAATCATAATTCCAGTGAAATCCTTTCACGGTCACAGGCTGCAAACGAGCATTTTATAATTACTCTTAAAACACTCCGTAATACTCTGATTCACTCAGAGTTACTATGACATTGCTGTAACGGTATATTTTAGTTGCTCTATTACTACAATATTCAGATAGGGATATGTGTGTCTGCGCTGCTAAACAGTGAGTTTCATACATTTATAGTTTATAGCATTTTTGTCTCGACAATGTTCCCGCAGTAGGCTATGAATTCTTCTAGGTTATAGTTTTCGCAGGTTTTAATTAGGCCGCACTGCAGGAAGTCCCTCTGCTGCTTCCAGCCGTTTTAATGCCTTCAGTTAAAATAGTTAATTCCAGCAGCCTGTGGTGAAGAAGCCTGATACAGTCACTGCGGACACCAATATAATTTATTATCTGTCAGAAATAATCTGCTGTGACAGCAGTTCTCACCTTTAATGAAAAGGTCAGACTGATGCAAAACACGTGACCGTTTGAACTGGCAAACAGGTTGCTTGAGTCTGATCAATCTCTTGTTAGACGCTATAGGAGGCAAATAAAAACAGGTCTGAAAATATGAAAGGACAAGCACATTAAAATCTCAGTCGACTTTTTTAAAAATCGGAAAAGCATGTTTGAACTCACATACTAACAGCCAATAAAATGGTGGAAAAGATGTTTTAACACTGCAGTCACCTCAGCAGACACAGAAATATCCTTTCATTTTCCAGTTTAGGCTTGGAGGCTATAATTACCGCATTTTGAAGGATCTGTGGACGTCAGTCACGTTTTACCTATGTAACCGGACTGTGGCAATTTAGGCTTTCAACAAAAAGACAACTGTCTTAGTCTTGTAATACTTTGCATGTAGGCCTACAGGCATTGTATCGGAAATTTTACACGCGTTTCATTTGTATGAGGAGATGGTGGTGGCGGCGCCAGCAGGAGCACGTGCGAGGCTGGCCACGTTTTCATCATCAACATTCTCCAAATTCAACACTAGATGTCACCATTTAGTCGTCTAGTCAAAACCTCCCTAACCTCCACCCTCCTCATTCTCAGCCTCCAAAGCTGTTCATGTAGATCGACCAGACATAAATGAGCATGTGTACTCTACCAAGTGCTCCACGAACGTTTTTGGTGTCAGTGTGAGAAAGAATATTCCTCCCTGATCATTTCAGTCCAAACAGTATTGATTAAGATCCGATTATTTTTAAAAAGAGGACACTCTGCAATATAAAATAAAAACAGAGCGATAATAATTGTTGTTCGTTTTACAATAATAGGCCTGAAAATATTTTTAAACCATGGAAGCTTGAACACACGCACTTAAGCTATCGACGTCATTCTGTCACCTATTAGCCTACTATAAGGAAAAAACAGTGTTCATCATTGTGCTGGAGATACCTCACATCTCTTTAACTACAAGGAGGCTATGCTATTGAAAATAGCTTGGCCGCCTAACTTGGAGGTGTTTCATTACGCCAATTTCTTAATACAGCTTTCAGTGCCCGACAAGGCTCGACTGTTCCTATTACAAACTGCATGGTAGGCTGTGATGTGTGGCCTAAAATTTGAAAAATATGCCTCACAAATGATTTCTGATGAGAACATTAGGGCACACGTTTGTTTTGCTTGCCTCGTTTTAAATTTAATATTTAGCCGGTGTATTAGGCTATGTTACATTACATCTCCACATCTCCGCATTTTGATGCGGCCTAGAAATAAAAAATAAAAAAAACATTAATAAAGAAAACTGTCTCGTTTAGTTTGTCTCTGTTTTCAACCACATCGTCTCATCTGTTTGGAATGTAAAAAACTGTTGTTTTTCTGTGACTCGAACCGGCGGCCTGGTGGCTCTGTTACCACTAAAAACAGATCCATTATACGTGCAACTAACTCAATTAATCAACAGGAACAAGGAGAATATCCGGTGTGTATAAATTATGTCTCTCCTATACATGATTCAAATGAACAGCGGACCGCTTGCCTCTCCATCCCCCATTAGAGACTCTGGACCTGTACAGACTGTGGTCAAGAATATAGTGGTTTTAATAAATAAAGGTGAATAAAGAGCTCATGTGATATGTTGGATGTCTAAGTTTCCCAGAAAGTAATGATGTTAACGAATGAGTTAACCTTCTTTTTAGTGAGAAGGTTACTTCCACCAATCGAAAGAGTATGAGGTTAAATTCTGTTAAGTTATCTACTTCATACCACCTTTCTCGACCCCTTCCTATAAAAAAAACCTCACATTAAAAACGAAAATAAAGAATATCTTATTGGAAGAATATTGGATTGGTTTTGTCTTTAGAAAAACCGTACACACACTTTACTAATCATTTATGCTTGTTTATTTCCATTTTTTGAAAGGTAAACGAAGGTGTGTGTATCCTGGTGAAGAAAACGTGTGAAATACAACCGAGACGATGAGTGGACAGTTAAAGCTCCAAGGGAGCACCTTGTAGCCTAAGTAACTTAATATTCTAATATTTTAGAATAAATGATAAGTAGGCTAAATATTACTATTTAGATCGAGGAGCCCAGTGTAGGTGGGGTAACAGCCTCCTGTGGCTTTGAATATCTTTATGTGAGCCAGCCTGACCACTGGTGTTGAGCCACGAACAGTTTAAGAGCAAGGTTCAATAACGAGGGGAGTAGCCTATAGGGACTGCATTTGCTGTGGCTGATTGCAGAAAGTTTGCCCTCCTGGAAAACATCCCATCAACTTGATAGAAAGGCCGCACGCAACCAATCACGAAGTCACTGCAGCAGCACCGTTGGATTTTGTAAAATTGGAGGTAAGTTAGAACGTTTGATTCAGAACAAGCTTTCTCTGTGAAGATCACACAGTAAATGCAGTTTTGTAAAAGAGAGAGAGAGACTTAAATGGTAATGTCTGTCTTCTATTTTCAATGATGTGATAATTGTATATTTCTCTAAGCTCACTGCACTTGCCTGCGCGCGCTCGTCCTTGGCACAACTGAGCGCGTGCACGGACACCGAGGAGACAGCCTGAGCAATTGTAGCCTAAATGTCAGCGCTGCGTCATTGGGTTTTTTACAAACTGGGCAGAAGACTTTTTGCTTATTAGTTTTCGCACAGCCCGTGTCATTCTCTTATGAGCCAGCCGTCTCGATTCTAAAGTATCACCTCCTCAGTATACTAGCTACTTCTGAATCTCCTCTATTGTTTGTCCACCAGAGAGCTCTTTGTCCATGCATGCTGTAGCCTATTTGAGTATTCAAAGGTTTTGCAACGATTTACATCATTCAGATTAAAGAAAATCCTAACTGTTAGGCAGTAGATATCGTGTCACAGCAGTCAGAATCATATTATCCTACAATTTGAATATGAAGTCTGGAATTTTAGGTAATAAATGTCATCGCTAGAACAGGCTATACATTGTTTTTTTTTACACCTATCTAAACGATAAAGCATGTATAATAAACAATGAGCGATACGTATGTAATGCAAATACATCCACTGAATATGCATCAATATTAAAAATAATACGCACACCAGAGCCAACGGCGTCGGAGAATTGAGAATGGCGGAGCGGGTCGTCTCATTACGCATGGGCGGTTTTCCACGCAGGAGCCACGGTTCTCCTTTTCTTCATGTCTCCCTTCTGTCCCGTTCACATTAACGAAGCCTCTTGGAAAAACAAACAAGGCTATGTTGGCTTTCAAAACGGCAATCAAACACCCAAGACCTGGCTGGGGGGGAATTACTCCGACTGCAGCCGGGCGGACTATGTAGTAAGCGGGATTTGCATATTTTGATGCGCTAATTGCCTTGATGTATTTAAATATGGCTGCACGTAGCTGATATGCTTGTCTACGTCATTGAACGTGCCCTCGCTGTTAAACTAAAACGTGAATCCGGTTGAATCTAATGGATACGCCTGCAATTAGGCAAGGGGGAGGGAAGGGGGGCTGCTTTGCGTTCCCTGTTTGCTGTCTTTTCAGTCACATGATGATTTTCTGACATTTGCTATTCTTTTCTGGGACATTCAGATAAATTACATAAAAAATGTATATCTTGAAAAAAAATGTGACTGGTGAATAGATCTGGGAGTTTGACGCTTTTGCACCAAAGACAGAAAGTGGTATTCATGCAGAATAAAGCGCCCCAAGTCGTTTTGCAGAAACAGTCGAGCATTATAATCTATGCACAAAAACAAAAAAAAAGTATGTCATCACCAAGAGAATTAGCTGAAGACACAGGCTACCGGTAGGCCACTGACAAGTAGGTCACCTCATTCTAACTTTTTTGAGTGAAAGACTTTTCTTATCTTTCTTTCCCCTTCTCTCACTTGGCTGCGTGTTCGTGTGCGTGTGTGTGTGTGTGTGTGTGTGTGTGTGTCCACTTTAGAAGGGGGCACGGCGCGCTGGTGGGTGAGTCTTATAAGACTACCTCTTATCAGGCTACTGGGAGCAAGGTGAATTCATACGTCCAGTATAGGCCTATATTGTAGGCTACACACAGATCCAATCAAAACATTTTGAGTGAAGTTTAAAGTGCCGTGTGTTTTCCCTTTTCTTTTTATTATAGCCCTCATTCTAGACTTCGTTTGGGAATTGCATGTAGCAAATCATTTCCCCTCTGTCTGAAAACCGGTAAATGCGTTCCGTTTGTCAAAGCGTGTTAGCGAAGCGCCTGCAGCAAATTCATTACCACCCAACTGCGAAGCTCACTTCGTAACCTGGTCAGGGAAAAGGAGGGAGAGGTCCACGCCAAAACGCGAACAATGCTGCCTCAGTTCGTGCGTGCAACAAAAGAACCGAGGGAACTTGTTTGAATTTCAGAGCACGTCCTCTCCTCACACAGAAGGATGGACTTTATACCCCCCCCCCCCCCCCCCAACCCCACCCCTCCTCATCATCATCATCATCATCACCCCCTCCCTCCTCATCCCACCACCAACAGGGGGGAGAAAAAACTTGCACACTCTGAGAGCTTAACTGTGCATGCACTTTTCTATTTGGTGCTTGCAGACGTTATGGGAAAGTTGTCTCTCTCCCTCTCCCCATCCCTCCCTCCTTCTCCTTCTCTTCGTCTATCATGTGCTTGGTATATGCTCATGCTTTGCACAGAGCAGCTGAAGCACGCCTAATGCAGGCTACTGAGTGTTAGCGGCAATTTTAAAGTGATGCCCCCCCACCAAATAATACGGCTGGGATATTTGCGGGGAACATATACCACATCACGGTGCACACGGACGCAACTGAACACCGCTGTTCTTCTCCTGCTTGGGACGCTTCCTGATCGACTTCAGTGATTTGACTCAGCTTTAGGAAGTAAGTGCAACTTTTGTGCCTGCTTTAAAAGGCTGCGTAAAGGCAATCGTGTGCGTAAAGGTTTCCCATTTGCGCAAAAGTTAAATGGAAGGCTATGGATAAGAAATACAAAGTATGTGTAGTTATTTTGTTAAGTGTTCATAAGGACCGGCGATTCGCGGTGAGATTCCACATATTTTAAAGGAAATGTGAAGTTTGTGACTGTCAGTGTTTCCTCACACACTTCAGAATTAGGGCGCACAGATAAGACTTTTTTGGCACATTTTAGAAGCAAGTGTAAACTCCATCTGACCGTAACTCAGTAACGTCTTTCTCAGGATATACTTCCTCCTGTAAATAAGTTCACTTTAGAGTTTATTTGGCAGTATTCCTAAAGCTGATAGATGCGTTTCTTGTTATCTGCTTTTGTAAAACGAACATCTTGTAAATATCATTATGAGGCCTATATAAGGCACATTTCAATTCCAGTGAAGACACTGTGTCGCTTGAGTTAGCGTGGACTCGATACAGTGTGAGAAATGTGGTTTCAGGAGCGATGTGCTTGAGCTTTTGTCAGAGAAATTTTAAAAATGGACTGACACGTTTACGTACAAAAAAACGCATCAGCAAATAACATGAAAATTGGGAAATCTTTATTTTCTCCAGAAAATGAGCTGAAATGTACTGAAACAAGAGTAAAACAGTTCGGTTTACATTGAATAAACAACGTCACCAAATCGTCACACAGTGTCTTGAAAACAAAGCGTTCATTGTATTGTTTATCCATGTGTCATTATGCACGAAAGCCTCGTTTGTTCAAACAATAAAGCTAATAATTTGGATAGAATTGCGCCTATCGGATTTTTTTTGACTTCTCAGCACTATTATTAACCTTCACGGAAATACAGTTTATTGTAATTTCAAGAGGATCAGCAGGTTGTAAGTTTAGGTGTGCTGTGATTAAAGCATGGCCTCTGTGTGGGAGGCCTAATCTGAAGCCTCCTTTACCCTAATGAGCTGTGCTTTATAATGTTGATCTTAATTATATCAAGTTGGCCTTACAGTTTACCATTCATTGGATCTACATCAGGGACAGGGCAGAATGACTGTGGATGTGTGAATATTGGCGATGCATTACAAGAAATAAAGACATGAACAATGGATGGGTAAAGTAGTGAATTTTAAATATTATCCACAGTACAAATGACATTTGGACAAATTCAGGCTGCTAGCCCGTGTCCTATGTTGCAGGTGGAATATGCTATTTGTAAAGGGACGCCTGCATAAAAAAAGCTGTGACTGCACATTTAAGGGACAACTTGCTGTATGTAATCCCTTATTGAAATGCACAGGCCTTGTGACTCATATTTGCTAATTAAAACACCTCTGCTTCGCCCCTCCCACCGACGAAACGAGAGCCAGATCTAAAACTGTAGCGAGTGAATAGGACACCCCGGAAGAAGAAAAAAAAAGCTGATGATGCCAATGACTAATAATATGTGTTAATTTGTCACCACCTGATAGCTCACTTCTCCTGTCATGCAAACAAGCACACACACACACACACACACACACACACACACACACCTAAGCTCTCACTCACACACATGACTTGAGTGGATTACTGTCACAGGCGAACTTTTTTTCCTGAATTGGGAGTCTTTTCTGGTCCGACCAGAATCAAAGTTGCGCACAAGGTACCATAAACTGACTCGGTAACCTGCAGCTGCATGCTCCTGCGCATGATCCATCACATGTCCCACTGCCTGTTATTGTTGACTCAGTTATCGAGATCCTATATAATGGCACTTTTGTGGTGAGCTATCGTTTAACTACTTATATTTCTGTGGGAAAGTGAGCGGGTTAACACGCGTACACTGGGAAGCGCTTGGGCTTCATTCTGCCTGAGGCGACTTCGCCAGCCTACCTGAATACCATTGTAGTCTAGCCTTCGGATGCGACGGTGACAAAAAAACACGAGGCTAGTAAGGATTTCGACGCAAAATCGAGCACGTGAGAGCAATTTCACTCCTGCAGTGGTACCTCATATGAGAAGGAGAGCAACGAGCGAGCGAGAAGCGTGTTATTGCGATTTGAAAATACAGCGTACATTGGATAGACAGAAGACGCTGGCGCTAAGGCAGCCCCAGGATGCTCTCTTCAATGAGTTGTTTCAATTGTATTGTATAGGCACTAACTCTGGTCGCATCTTCCATTACAAGCAGTTGAATCGCTCTTAGTCTGTGTAAAAAAACAGAAAACATGTGGTTTCCCTGCCATCCATGTTCATCCCTGTGTGAGTCAGAGAAGGCGTGCAGACTGCTCGGTGCAAGGAGGATTTATTCCAACGCGCTCTGAGTAATGGATGGAGATGCATTGATAGGAGGGTGTATTTGCGATTTTTTCATGACATCACCGCATTTACATTGTCGTGGTCCGAGGCCTTTGACCTCACCAGGGTTGGTCTAAATTTTGGCCACCCCCAGCTCCCCTATCGTTTGGGGATGGCCCTTATTCCCCCACTCTTTTCAGACCGACCGTTTCTGCAGAACGGACCCTTTGGCTCAGAGTCATCGGCTTTATTTCTCCTTAAGTGCATGCTGGATGTGAACGGACAACTTGATACTCTTTGGTCCAAAAACAAGCTCCTGTCTTCATAATCCGAAACATTTGCGTCGTAATTCCCTGTGCCGTTATTGCACTTTCCACAGGAAACCGGATTTCCCCCCCCCCTTCTCTATCGTGTTTCTTCTTCGCCGGCCTCACAGGATATCTATTGCTACTGCCACAACGACTTAATAGAGGCGAAAGAGCCTTTTGTGGGATTGGAGCTATTTGCATTGCAAATTAGGGCCCCTGTGCAAGGATGACTGCACCTTACCCGCGATTTTCAAGGCCTACTTCAACTCAGTAATATTGGGTAATGTCAAGTGAATATGACATTAACATTGGGATTATATATAATTTTTTTCGAAGAATTTTTACACCGGGTGTATAACTGTTCGGGCTGTGCAATAGTGGCCCTCTATGCCGAAAAAGGAATACAAGGAATATAATGCACAGTGTAACTTGAGAAAGGACCTTTTCTTAATATATATTTGAGTTCTGAGAGATGGAAACGTGCAGCCCAGAAGAGGAAATGTGCATAATGGATTATTGCTGAAGATTGGGAAGTGGGTTGTTATCTTTGGTTATCTAGCTGTATGAGTGTTCTGCTCGTCATAAAGCTAGATAACCGAAAGTAAAAACTACTTCCAGACTCGTCGAGGACACGTGGAGGACTCATGACATATTACTCTATTTCCCCATGGACCAGATATTGTAGATGTGATTTATTAACAGACTTTATTTTTTATTATTATTTTGTAATGTTTTTCCTCAATGTACATATAAGTTTATACGTTTGATATTTTCACCAGGAAGGGACAGCTTTGTTTGTGCACTTTCCTTAATTTAATTACTTTTTTTTAGAGAGCATAATGTACATTATTGTTGTACACACGTGTGCTCACCCATCCACGTTTAAACATGTACACACACACTCACACATACACACACTCTGAACTTCAGGCCAGCTATTGCATGCTAATATTTATAAGCTATTTGATCTTATAACAAGGGGTATGAGTTTAAATTTTATTTTATTTGAATGCAATTTCCACCTAGGCTCATCTTGAGCATTTTATGGGAATGAAAGTGTGACATTTAGGGCTTTTGTAGAAACTCACGTGTGCTCCTCCATGCTTCTTATTTCAGCATGATCGAGTCCGGCCAGGAAACGGCGCTGGCATCCCAAACAGTAATAATTAGGACGTATACTGAACTGACAAAAAAATGGAGAGAGAGGGAGAGAGAGAGGTGGGAGAGTGGGGTTAGGAGCAGGAGGGAGGTGGCAGAAGACGGAGGAGAGGAGGGAGGGAGGGAGTGAGGGGATTGGGGGGGGGGGGGGGGGGGGGGGTCGGGCCTGCTTAATTGATTCCGTTAACCGCAGTGCAGGAGATGTGAACGACTGGACGATCCCATTCCCACGCTCGGTGGGGCAAGTGGCAATGCCATGCCCAGGCCCAATATGACAGACAGCGCCGTGAGAGACTGGAGGGGGATGGGGGCCGACAGGGGTCATGAAAAGACGTCAAGTGCACCAGACTCATCTGCATCCCCAAAGAAAGAGGCGACGTTTCCCAGCCCCAGCCGACGCGGCGCTCCTAAACTTGGAGTAGTAACGGTCTTGAATGCGTAATGTCTCGCCAATTGTACTGATAATGAGGACTTTGGGTCATTATCTTAAAACTATGCGGGTTTATGAATTTGAAAGGGATGTGCTGCAACTCTGTAATCCTGTATGGCCCCACTTCAGCGCGCGGATCCAGGCGTTGTACTTCTCCTAATAATTAGTAATAGCGCAGACAATGTGTAAAGAAGACTCGGCTATTCAAATAGGGCATCTAGTTGCATTGTTTGTATTTGAACTTGACCATGAACCTAGCCTATTTTAAATTAAGGATGCTGGAAGAAAATTTGTTTGGAGTATATTATTAGTATAGGCTATAGGCAGCATACAATTGTTTGGGGAAACATGTAAGTGGAATATTGGCAGTTCCCTGAAATGGCAGTTCTCACAATATACAGTATATTTACAATGAATGTATTCATTGGCTACAATTTAGTTAACACTAGTTTTGCACTTATAGCTGAGTTGCACTCAAATAACTCATGAATAATGATAAGTGATGTGTCCCCCCCCCCCCCCCCCCCCCCCCCCCCCTTACACACAGCCCCAGGTGGTTGTTATGATTTCTGGATCTGTCAGATGAGGCTGTTTCCAGCAAAAAACACATGTTTAAAACGGGCCTGATCTTTTTACTGACATGGTTTGACAATTTCAGAATTAATTTTATCTTTATACACTTTACCCTCATTGAAATGTGTAAATGGATTTTCATTTTCAGGTTTCAAAATATCTGATTAGAAGTCATAGTTCAAGTTCAGCACATGTTCAGAAATCTGTGAAGCTGGCTTTT